GGGGGGGCAGTGCGGCCCCGCTGGTCCGGCCCCACGGGCTCATTCCCAAAGGAAGGGGGAGAGCACAGCTTTGACAGAGCGCGTAGAAAAGGGGCAAGAAACAACGGAAAGGGTTGGAAGGGGGCAGAAAGGAACAGAAAAGCCTTAGGTAGGAAAGACTGATCTTCTGAAAACAGCCTTCCTTTAATTAAATCTTCTCTCCAGAACCCATCTCATAGGTATTTGTAAGATATATATACCAGTTGTATGGTCCAGAATAAACTATTGCTATCTTTAACATTACACCTATGTCATGATGTCGTCAAGCATTAGCTTTGCACGTATGATAAAATCTCAGACGCAGCTCATTGCTGCTTTTAGGATACTTGGTGCTAAGACTAATTTATTAACTCGTATACCAACACTGCAAAGTTGGAATGTTAAGGCATTACAAGGCTAATCATGTTTATTCTTTATCTCACTAACAGAATCTTATGAAAGAAATGATTTCTTATGTTCTCTTATACCCCAAGACAGGAGTTCTACTTTACAACACCTCTAGCACATCTCTTCTTGGAATAGCGCAGACGGGAATGAATAAAGGCTCTGGCGCCTTTAAAGAAAGCGAAGTGACAAGGATAAGGAGGCTGTTTGAATCCTATGACTCCTATTACCTGCTCCTGTCTGCAATGGTTATAAACATAAGAGTCCTTGAAAGAGACTCAAAGACGGTCTCAAAGTCAAGCTGATAGGCTGGAAGAAAATGTTCTCCCTTACCTATGACGTACTAGCACAGATTTTACATTCTGGAGACAGCGCCTAAATTTTAGGCAAGCTGCCATCAGGAAGTATTCACAGAAAGAGCTCATACCTTTTTGGAGAAAAAGGGATAGTAATACCTTTGAAATAGGACCCACCCAAAGACAGGGAAGAAATTGGAAGGTTTGAACTTCCAGAAAACAGCAACAGAAACAGTCCTCTTCGCATCTTGTATTCCTTACAGGTCTTACTTTCTGACCTTGGTACGCTGGAAATCATCGAGAGAAGACTCTGCATTATCTAATATTTATCTCTGAAAGAAAGATAGCATTTCAGATTTTCATAACCTTACCCAAACTCTTCCTCATTAAAAATAATTTTAGGAGTGAAATTATGTATGTTTAGTTAGTTTTGTTTGGTATTTCTGTGTTTTTCTCTAAGTGATGTATGGTGAATTCTCTTGTAAACATTAACGCTGGCTAATGCTGTTAGCAAAACAGTTGTGTTGCTTTTTATGCACCAAACTAGTAAGTCTAATAATATAATCTAATAGACTTTCTATTTCAAGACCTATTATTTGGCAATCTATAATGCAATTTTAACATCGATAAACGTTTCCTATTATGTAGTTCTCTGGCAACATGTTACCACATACACTGAATTCCTACAGCATCCTACGTTAACTTCCCATTGTTTATTTTAAGGTATTTGGATAATATTCTGAAATAAAATATTCTTCTTAGAGATTAAAAACTCAAGCATGGAGATTTCTTCCTTCCTTATACTCTTTCTGTTCCTGTTCACAAATTTGTACTTTCTGTTTATTGCTAAAATACTTTATTTTGCTGGGTTGGTCCTCAACAATACCTACTTTTTCAGGAACAGTATTTGTTAATGCATGTGCATTTTATCCTTCAGCATATGAGAAACAGGTCCAGGACATTTTTAAATGTTCAGCTAATGTCCTGCACACTTTACGTTTTAGCAAATTCTAGTTCTAATTAAGTGAAAGAATTCCATGGTTAGGCCCACAGTTCTCAACTTGAGAAACAAGGAGTATGACAGCTGAGAGTATGCTTTTTAGTGACACCTCATGGCAAAATGGAAAACAACGTACTGCAAATTTCCAAAAGTTAAGTGCCAAAATGTAAACAAATGCTCTGGCATTTTCTTTTTTAGTAACATCAAAAGTCCCACAAGATGCATTTCACTTCCTCTGACAGCATGAATGGATCCAGGCTCATTTTTGCATTCTGCTACCTGCCTCAAATACTGATTTCCCAATATTCTGAGCACTAAAAGGGAAGTATTTGTATAGACAATGTCCAAGTGCTTTTTGCCCTATGCATTATAGAGTAATTCACCCCAGTGCAAAGTTGAATTGCCACCAGCCTGATTTACTGACAAGTTATGCCCGTTTTGAATGGCTCAAAACAGCTACTTCTTTTTTAAGAAAACCCACTAACCATCACCGACACATCAGGGCATCATGATCTTACTGGCTGCTTTCAACATGCAGCTGTTGACCTCTTGGCCTCAATTTGCTGCCCTGAAGCATTCCTTATAGCTGTTGTTTTCTGGAACTGAAGACCCATTCTGAAATTACACTGGACATATCTATTCACAAATTCAAGTTCCTAACAGCAACTCTAGTATTAATGACTTTCTTGCTACAGAGAAAGTTCACATCAAGATGCTTGCTTCCATGTTTTGACTGGGGCTATGTATCCTAATTACATTCTAATTGAAGAAGAGTATGGGGACTTACCCACCTCTGACATTTGTTTTTAAAGGATGTATCCAGAAGAGGTACCAATGCAGTGAAACACACTGTGGATCTTATGGATTTTATCCTTAAGATATCCATACTCTTTGCACTTGAAGAAGCCCAAATCCCATCTAATCTGAGTTCATAAATAGTACACTGGACCTCATGTGACTAGAGCATATTTCTTACAGTATAACTTTGTGACATTGTTAAAAGTGCTGGTAAAATTATTAGACCAACATCTCTGTAAGTCTGCCTCACCATGCTGCATCCGAAGCGAGTATTTATGCCATGCCAAAAACAAGGATGTACATGTAAGACATTCAGTTGTGGCTTGGAAGGTTCATTCACCCGTGTGTCATCTAGTGCGACGCCAGATTTCTCAAGGGATATTTAATACTTCACTGCAGTGCATGGATCTGACCAGTGTTCTAGATGGAATACCCTTCTGCTGCTGCTTTCAACAGAAAATGCCAGTCCTTCTGCTCGAGGCTAGGCTCTGTTAGATGCTTTTTTAATCCTGTTGTCAAGGTTGATGAGTGCTTCTCTACACTACCAATTATGACTACTCTTCAGAAGCAAGGTGTGACAGGGCAAGAATCATCTTGTCAACCCGTACCAGCCAAGGCACAACTGATTTCAGAATCCCCCACAACCAAAACAGCTGCCTTCAGTTTTAGATATCCTTACTGTGAGCTCTCCAGGTCAGAGCATGAATTTTAGATGTCTTCTGGATCTACAAAGTATTTGCCACCCCCTAAATGAAAAATATTTTAGTCAGCACTAGAAAGAATTTATCATGCAACCCTATACCACTAAATGAGCTAGAGTCTCGGCATTGTGTTTGTGAAAGATGATCTCTTCTTCTTTGCCCATACTGTAGATAATTGGCTGAAGCTGGACCTCTCAGTGCATCAGTAAAGGTCCATTTGGCTGTCTTTATAAACACTGCACTTATGTGATAACGGGTTCTTTATCTCACCCTACTACACCTATGCACTTCTTTTAGGAGTTTGGTAAGGAAAGTTCTCGCTCTTAAGGATCCAGTTCTCTGGCAGGAAATAACTTCAAGCTTGTATCTTTAATCTTGAAAGCCTGTCACCCTTTGTCTGCTTTTTTCTCCTTTACCTTTCAGCAAAGACAGCTGTTCTAGTATTGTTACTTCAATTAGACAGTACAGGCAATTTGGGCTCCATTATAAAGTTTTCTTTATTGGCAAAGTCACCATATGAATACCCAATTACATACCCCAACTCAACTGCTTCCTCAAATGATTTCACTGTTTCATCCGAACAAAAACATGAACGTAGTGTTTTTTCCCAAGTCACCTATTTCTAGAAGTAGAAAGAAGAAAGATTACTTGTCTGTAACCGGTCTTCAAGAGGAATCACCTGTGTGAATTCTCATGACCCAGTGCCCCAACCTTTCTCCTCTACAATTCCTTCATGTCTTGGGACTCTAGTGTTGAAAGGAAATGACACAAAAGCACGCAATACCTCCTTTGTGAATACGTATACACCACCTGGAGGTGTGCAGCACAGTTTTGCCCATATGGATACCGACAAAAATTTTAATCAGTAGTACTGAGAATAGGCCTACTGGGTAAATCAAATACGGACAACAGCTCTGGAAGAACAGTTTAGGCTAAGGTCTGGGAGACTTTACGAATGGCTTAAATCAATACAAATCTGAAGACAATCTGTCGTCTGCAATATGTCTTTAATTATCTCGCCTTTGTTCGTTTCCAGCTCATTCACCAATTATGCCATCAACATTTACTTTCTGTATCTCCCTGGATGCCTTTTACGTACTTGACAGGCCTCAGTGCATTTGTGAGAACGCGTTCAAGTCTCCCTTTGAACTTAGGGTGAACTTATGGATGCCTCTAGCACCCGCAACATCCTGTGGCAAGAGACTGCATCGCCGCGGGGTCCAGCGCAAAGAACCATCTGCTTTTATCTGTTGTGAACCTGCCTCCTGCTGGCATAACCTGATAATCCGCAGTTACTGCGTTGAGAGAGGCAGTGAAGACCAACACCTACCTACCTCCTTCGATGCCACGTACAATTGCAGAACCCTCTGCCACAGTCCCCCCCTTGGGAGTTTCTTTGTTTAAACCAGGCTGCAGAGCCCTAGCTCACGCCGTGTCGCAGTGCAAGGCAGCGGGTCACTCTTGCCGTCCCGGCCGCCCCGCGCCCTGCGGGGCAGGAGC